ATGGTAAAATAATTAAATAATCATAATATATTTTCTACAGTTATTGTTTAATATTTTATCGATTTTCCCATGTTTTTTCCCGGTTTTTCACATTTGCTGGGGAAACTCTTGGGAAATCGAAAAATTAACTCCCTAAAGTATCTTCCCAGTCAGATTTTCTTTCAGAAAAAGTGCTATCATTTTAAATTGGAGTGAAATTTTTGGTAGAAAAGTTGTACACAGAAAAAAAAAGCCCATAATATTTGTTTACTAATCTCTACATTTCGTACATTTTCCGTTTTTCCGAAATTTTATCTCGGTTTTTCCCAGATATTATGAAATCCACTTGGAAAATCAAAAAATGGCCTCTCAAAAGTACCGTCTGTATAACATTTCCTTTTAGAAATGGTGCCGTGCGTAAATATCTGAGCAAGATTTATGGTAGAATTTATGTACAATAGTATAAAAAAAAAAATTAAAAAACAAATAAACATATTAGTAAAAAGATACACTCAGAATCTAAAATTTAAGATGATTTTAGTTTAACGTAAAGATAAATGAGCTAATTTGAATTTATTTTAATAAAATAAAATAAACTTGACTTTTGTTATATTAACTCCTTAATGTCCAACATTGCTAAATGGTAGGTTAGAGATTCGCACTTGTGCGCAAACTTCCTTCTTTCTTTATCGGTTTCGGACCACTAAGTAAGTTATGTTTTGTTTGACTCCTAAAATCTCTTAAAACTCTTAAAACCACCTAGGTTACGTTTCGGTTTGGGCGGGCCGAACTCGGATAGGTATTGGGAATACGCGCCCGGTGTCCCCGTCGTCGTCGTGATGCAACTCATCGTCGTACCCTGTATTCGATCGTATATTATTATAATAACAATATTAAACGGCGTATACAAATTCATTTGGCCCGCGAAAGAGTATAATATAGGTGTATGCATATTATATGCTAAGTATATATATATATATATACGTGTATATTCTGTGAAGGATGTGCGGGACGCAGGGATGAGGGATAATATTTGCATATTTTGTGGCCCACGGGCTAGGGGAGGTAAAATATTATGCGATTCTCTCGTGCCGCGCGACCGGAAGACGGTTCGCCGAGCTCGCGCTTTCGGTTGCCAAAACGCCGTTCCGTATTGCGACCTCCGTCTCCCCTTTGTCACCGCCGCCGCCGCCTCCGTCATTGGTTCCAAATATATTATCATTATTATTATTATTATTATTGTATACTTACCCGTATATATATATATATATATATGTACGTATATAATACTATAAACCGTATGATTTGTCGCCGAGGAAGTCTCCGGCGTTTTTGCGTCATCGTCGTTGCAGCCGCAGCCTTTGCATCAGCAGAAACCGCAAAAGCCACAGCAGTTTCGCGGAGGGAATTATTATTATAGCATATTATACATATACAGAGAAGACTGCAGCGCCGGCGAATTTAATTTATCGTCATCGTTCGGGTTTATTGCTCGACATCTGCCCTTCCTCCTACCTCCCCTCCGATCGTAAATATTGCACATTCCTCGCGTGTACACTGCGGTCCCGCGCCAGTGTTTAAGGCGCGCGCGCGCGCGCGAAATGTAAACATAATTTCGTAATTTTCCGCACGGCAGCAATGGAGTCGTGTTGTTTTTAGATTTCGAACGGAATGCGCGTATTGGTTTTTTTTCCATATCTTCGAACGAGTGTTCGACCAAAAAAGACTTAATATGCTTTGATCGAAAACTTCATAATATATATATAGACGAAGCCACGTTTGTTGCAGGAGTGAGCGGGGACTAGACGTTCGGACCTCTTCTGTTCTCAAATTTCTTTAAAATGTAGAACGATGCGCGTTCAAATTATCGAAAATATTATGAGGTCGTAATTTTACTCCTCCCCGCATTCTTTCACAGATATGGACCTGCATATTATTGGATCTCTGCGCATTCTCGTAACGTTTTGGAATAAACGCGTTGAGCTCATTTTTATTGAAATTCTTTGTACTTTCCACGTACGGAATGAAAGAACATCGGAAAAACGGAAATATTTTGCGTCGAAATGGATTTTTTGAGTTTTTTTTCGTTGTTATTCGCCGTTCACGAAATAATAGTTTTTGTAGATTTCTGTAATTTTTCCGATACTATTTTGTGATAATATTTGTATTTTTGATGTGTGTGTGCACAAGTTTTCAAGCGTAAATTACATCACATAGGACCTTTGCATTTTCTCGCGCGTTAAAGTCATAAAGGGTCAAAAATGAAAAGCTGATACCGGGAATATACGTGTCACTATTGTAGATAGAGAGTCGGGAAGGTTGGATAAATAAAGTTATTTAAGCAACGATAAACTATTACTTACGAAAAACGATACGGAACGACGTTCGGTTATACATGTCTTGAAAGGTCATAATAATTACGATTTTCGTCAAAATTTGATATTTAAACTCATTAAAAAATATAATACTACTAAATTATTGCACAAACCTTTTTTTTTTTTTTTTTTTGCATTTCTGTTTCGTCAAACAACTTTATCAACTGCACGGTACGCAAAATTAAAATGTCTGTAAATTGCTCAAGATTGGCTCAATTATTTTTGAAATTTTCCCACATTTAAAAAAGGAAAATTTTTATATCGCTACAAATATGTTCAACTGAATTCAAAAAATACAAAAAACAGTTTTTAACTCAGAAATCAGATTAAAAATACAACAAAAATGGCCTCTAGATATTTAGATATTTTTTGATTGAACCAATATATTATTTTATAGTGGAAAACATAGTTAGGAAAAATCAAAATCAATGAAAACTCGTGAAAATTCGGGCGACAGAAGGAACAAAATACCGTTTGATCGTTACGACTCCTATTATTTTGTATTTTAAAGAAAAAAATACATTAATAAAATGTTCAGTTTAAATTTAACTTTACAGTTAAATTGTTTTATTTTGAAGCGGTTTTTTTTTTGTTCGTTTCGACTGTCACACCGCCGCCGCCGTCGCTGTTGTTTTCCGAACGAAATTTTTCGGCTCGGTTCAATTCGGTTTCTTTTTTTTTTGTTCTTTTTCTTATATTCGACGACATTCGGGCGGGCATATTTTTGCCGTTTACGACGACGGCAATCACGTCGTCATTCGCGAAAGAAAAATTTTACCACGACTGTTTTTTTTTTTTTTATATTATCGACTATTGTATAAAACATAACGATATTCTAGATCCGATACCGCGATTGCGGTTATAACCATAATCGTTCATCGATAATAATAATATAAAAAAAAAAACACGTTCTTGTACATCGTCGTTTAAAAGTCGTTCGATGCGTATTATAATATTATACTATAGGTATCGTTTCCAAAGTAAACATCACGAAAACGATCGAACACGTTTTTAATACCGTTTTATTATTATTATTTTTTTTTTTTTGTTAAACGGTCATCGCATCGTACCGCGTCTCGGTTTGCCAAAAGATACTATTATTAGATATAATATTATTATCATTCGCCGTCTACCGAGTTACGCTCATCTTTTTTTTTTTTATCTTTTTTAATTAACGATATAGCGATGCAGTCCGTGTACATAATACACAAGCAACAACAATATAACATATGTTGCCAAAACGCCCAAAACATCATCATTTTTAAACACAGAGATAAAATATCGTATTTAATAGAATAGTTTATATTTAAAATAATTAATCGCTTCAATTAAACCGCTATAATGAGTTTGATAAATTAAGAAATTTCGATATTGATAGTATACAGATAACGAACAAAATAATTAGTTAAGACAATTGGAAACGGTTGTCTACATTTTCTCCGATTTCGTAAAATTTAAAAATTATTTCTAACCTTTTAACGACCACCTTAACGGTAAGACTTTTCCACTCGTCTACTGCCCGAAATTCAATTTAAACGGTAAGGATACGAATATGTCGTTTTAGAACCATGAGTTGGAGTAAATTTCATTCACTATCGCTCGTCCAATTTTAATTTTGAAACCGTCTTTAATATTCTTTAATTAATTAATTCTTTAATTCTTTAATATTTCTCATCTATATTTTGTAAAACACTTATTGTTTGTTTTTTTTCCGTTCAGTAATTTAAGTAAAATGGATGATACATCACGATGAGCACTTTAAAAGATAATAGTACGTTTAAAAAAAAAGTGAAAATTATTTTACTATTGAACCGAGTAGAATGGTTTTTTTTAAAAAGAAATTAGACTACTGGAAGTACATTTATTTTACTCCAGTTTAATGGTCTAAATGTGCGGAAAAACGAATTTTTTCCGACGGCTTTCTTTTTCTAGAAAGTAGTTTATATAGAATTGCGAAACACCTCATATAATACAACTTAAGCCCAGAATAATCTAGAACTGTGACTATTGTTACTATTGGACGTTCCTGGATTTATTTTGCATGGACACGTCTAAAGATAAAGTGTCATGAAACACCTATTCATGGATTTCTTCTCATCCAATCTGATTTATCTTCATAAGTTACCTCCTTTCAAAACTCCATCGGCACTGTCTTCGTATTCTTCTCCTTGTTCACTTTCTAATCCGTATAGTATCAGCCAGTATTGATTTGACTATATTATATATTTTCATCCGCCCTCCATACACGATCTGCTCGTTAAGTTCTCATTTCTCTAATCAACATTCTTCTACAGATTTTTCTTTTCTAACTCTGCAGGCTTTCCTATTCATCTTTGGCCGTGACCCACGCGGTGTATACGAATGATGAGTTAACACTGAAAATTAGTAACTCTAATCGTTTTTCTCTTTATTTTGGCATTATTTTAGATTTGAGGAGTTATTCGAAGTGGCGTTTCACCGTTTTTCAGTACTTACGCAACTTGTTTCCACTTGCAAATTGTCATATAGCAACAATCGAGTTTAAATTTATTAAAATATTACTCGTAGCACTGCAGCAGTGACTTTTGGAAATTTCAAATAATTTTCTATTTTATATATGTATATATTAAACAAATATCTGCATTCGTGAAACTTCGGTTCGTTTCGACAAATATTCAGAAAACACTGTTGTCGAATATCATTGTTATCAAAAAGTTTACCTAATAACATGGTAATAATAAAGCTGACAAAATGTTGTTCCGGACGGAACGCGGAAACTTAATATGTAATATTGTATTATATTTTTTAGTACCCGAAATACTGTCATTTAGTGTCATTAGCCTAACGTTGTAATTTTTAACGGACAGTTTCGAAAAGTTTGAAAATTTAATTTTTCGTTCTTTAATTTCTTAAACTAGCGGCCATCGATTAAATAACTTTATTAAAATATTTACCTATATACGTTTGACCTATATTTTTATATTAAAAACCGAACAGTGTACGGTGTATAAATTATTTGTATTATTTTTTTTCTAAAAGTTTTAAACAATAGAGTTAAAATATATACTATCAACCGACGACGGAGGAGAAAAATACAAACATCATATGAAAGTTATCAGCTAGAATTGTATTAATAAAAAAAATGTATTTTAATTTTCTACTTTTATATTATAATTTACGACGACGATGAGTTTTTAAACTTGTTTTCCGACGTTATTTTAATAATATTATTTATTAAGTAATTATCCTGTAGAATATAATATTGCAACGTCGAAAAATTAAAACAATATTAACATCGGTATTTGATCTCTGAATACGTTTAGGTAATTTCAGTAAACAACAAAATAATTTCGCCTATAATAATTATACTGCAGCATGTAGCATCCTTGCACTGCTTTTCACGCCCCTGTTTTTTTCCCGTTTAATTGTTAACCCCCACTCTAAGAAAGAAAAAAGTGACAGGTAGACAGGTAGGTATGCAAATCACTATACATTATATATATGTACATTGTATAATATATTACACTATACTATTGTATGCGGTACTAAAAATAAAACATAAAAATATTAGAAACATATTATAGAACAACTAGTAAACGACATTTTTTTCTTCCTTAGAACATCCATCGATTTAAGTTTATAAACGAGACAATTTCGATTAATATTGATATAATTGATATTGTTGTAGGTTGTAGTATCATGGTAATTTCCATAGCGAATTTCCCGCGGGTCACAGATTTTGTTGACCGGAACCGCTGCGTATCCATTTAATCGTTGTTAAATCGAAATAAATTTGTTAAAAAAAAAAAAAAAAAAATAAATGTCATCGATATATACACTTGTAATTATACCGAAATGTGTAACGTCCTTGCACCGTTTTACCCCTCCACTAACCCCCTTTTTCCTGTTCAACGGGCTTGCACGTTTCGTGTTTCACCGTGTCACGAATTCACGATTATAATAATAAATAAGGTACCTATAATAATAATGATACGTGAACACTGCAGCACGCGACTATTATTACAACTACGATGACGATGACGTTTACACGTGTCAAAAAGTTTTCGCTACTGTACTATGATTTTATTTCGCGTCTTGTCAAGTTCTCTATGGCGTTTCATATTACATATTAAACAGTCGACGGTTGGCGATAATTTACGCCCCTTCCCCTATTTTAAACTTTGCCGGCGGCGACGGCGATTAAAATTACCGGAATTAGTAACGGTCTTATTTATAATATTAGACTATTATCGCGTGTACCTATTGGAGTTGAACGCGGTGACGACAATCACGGCAACGTCAATATTATAACGATTTATCGTCGTCGGACAATCGAAAAATATCGCCGACGATCGGTGACGTGTCGAATATTTTGCTTAAATATCTTGCGTAAAGCCCAGAAACGTTTTTAATTATTTCCCCCGCCCCCACCACCACCACAACCACATGGTATAAATAAATCGAGACTGAATTTGTTATAAGTAGGTAATATTAAGCACTTCAAATAAGTCACGCTGTTCTATGGTTCTGTAGTAATACGCCTCCGACCATCTAAGACCTACCAGCAATCCACTAATTTACATCGAGACACAGGTCTCAATTTCGCCGACACACATAATATATTACATACGCTCAAATAAGCGTTAAAAAAAAAATCAAAAAAAATCATTAGAATGAACGGAAAAAGCGATTCAAAAAGATCTAAAGAACCAATCTAAAGGAAATGAAAATCGTATTTTAACCACTTTATTGGGTTTATTGTACAACTACTCCAGGCGCGCATTTTTTCTCCTTTCGTAATCACCCGTAGTTGCGTTCCTCAAATATGACCATAAATCGTTCATAAACACTTCTTTCAAAAATTCGCAATTTTTAGCATTTTAGCTAATAAACAGCAGTTTTTCTTCTCAGAAAACTCATCGAAACCGTTATATAACAATGTTATGTATTACGCAATGTAAATTTCTATATGGAGTTTCCCGCGTGCCGTAGATGTAGTCTAAAACCGGTGTACCTATATCGTTCATAATGTTTATTGATTTTTAAAAAAATTATCGGGACAATATTTCGAATCGAATACCCGGGTATATCATCATGTCCTTTTGGATCCAAAAGGATCCAAACCTTACACTTTAATAATTCAAACAATATATTATACCAAGCAACCAATAGTATTCAAAATCAAAATTGATAACGAATGTGTTGTTTTTCGTAAATATTGTTCACCAGTTCATGAAAACATTTTTGAGACCAGTTTGGAGGAAGAGATTAAATTTTCTGAGGGGCTAGGTTTTTTCACACGTACCTACACAGTAATAACATTATTGTTGCGGTGTTATCTCGCAGTATTCGGTAGGCAGGTAGGTACGTATAATAAATATGATATTATAAATTATAATACTCGTGTGTGGTTTGACTGCTGGAGTACCACTGCACGTCACTGGTCCCCACACCCATCGTTCGTACCGACCTCACCGAACACGAGAAACGTTTAAAAACACAACGATGATATTCACACGTACCTACCTACCTACCTATAATACTCGTATTGGGACGTATATAAATACGAGTGTGCTATCGTCTGACATTCACGAAAATAATATTACGACGAAGACGGTGTCTAAATTTATTCTCGACTCACTTATAACAAAATATAAGAAAGAAAAAAAAATAGTTGATGGTTACCGGTGGAAGGCGTAGGCAGGTAGGTAGGTTAGCTTACCTATAATAATATTGTATACCTAAAATATTCCGGCGACTGTAATTCGTGTGAGCGCGCGTGTGTGTACGCGAAGAAAACACGTGTCGTTTCCGTTTTATGATAGTATATTATAGGTGTATCGAAAATTATCATTACCGTAATACCGGATGAAGGCGGTAAAAAGATGAAAATAAAAAAAAAAAATACGAAAGCCAACCCCGACGTTTTTACACATATATATATTTACTGTCTAAATACATAATATATAATAATTATAACGATACAGAGTCCAAAATAACGTAAATTTGTTTGTTTCTTTGTACTTTTTCCTGTTCAGAGTCTCGGAGAGTTATGTCGTCTTGTATTCCTTCGTTCCCGTTGACGACGTTAATACATTATTACGTAAAAATAACTGTGCGCGTTAGACGTCAATGCGACGTAAGTATATATAGGTATCTACCGTTTAAGGAAAATATACGTCGTTTAAAGAGAAATGTTCACACATACAGAGTGTCCCACGAAGATATACCCTACTCGTTTTATATACAAATTCTATATACAATGGGTATATCTTTGTGGGACACTCTGTAGTATAGGATTCGAAATATAATATATTGTAGTTTAGTATGATTAATATTATAGTCGGTGATATATACTTTTTTCAAAAACTTGCTTTATATGTTCTTTTGGTAGGCAAACGATCCAAAATGTTCACTCAGTACCTCAAAAAAAGCGGCATTTCTGTCCGATTGTACTTTATGTACAAAAATAAAATAACAATGGCTTTTATAAGAAAAATGTTTTTCAAACTTTACGTGACCGTGTTATATTAATTAATAATAAGAAAATTTAAGACCAAGGTTTAGAAAAAAAAAAAATGTCAAACGCTTCGCTTAAGAAAGAAATAAGAAAATCAATGTTCAATTTCATTAACGTTGCTAAATTATAATATTTTAGATTTCTAAAATATGAAAATAACCAATTCAATAAAAAATAATTACATACCTAATGAATGATCATATTAATATTGATGGAAAAATACGATTGAACGAATATTTTACGAGGAAAAACTGCGGATTATTAATTATAATTTAACCGACAGCAAGTGTTCATCGAAATTATATTATAATATATCGTGCGATTAAAAATACTGAAAAATATTATTTTCGTTAAACATAATATTGTTGTTTTCGCTGTAAATTTTAAATTAAGTGCAGAGAAATGTTCATAATTTTCTCGAGTACTTATAAAGTTTTAACGTTTAAAGAGTTTAAAGCGTACAGAGTGCCGTCGTTTAATAAAAATGAAATCCAATATCAATTAAACGGAACTGCTGATAAAACTTTCGAAAAAATGATCGTTCTACAGATAATTGTGTAAAATAAAACAAAACCCTTGCAAAATCAATGGCATCTTCGCAACATAAACATCCGTCAAAATTAAAAACAGAACGTAGAATGTTAGAAAAAAAAAAAATAATAATAAAAAAACTTCCGAAGGCTGTGCTCCTGTTTTAGAGTAGGGAGGGAGTGGACCGCAGAATCTATTATGTAAAGTAATTTAATTTATATCTGTACGCGACGATAAATCACTGCTAATGGTAAACGATTCTGGGCAGAGTATAATTAGTCGTATTTTTCATTTATTTACAAGTTTAACCCGGAAATTGACCAAAATTATAAAAACAATTTTCGTGATTTCAATTTTTTAAAAAAAAATTTCCGGAAAATACAAAAAAAAAAAAAATGATTCGTCAGTAGTACCAACTTGATAAAAACGTTTACAAAAAAAATCACACAACAATATTATTCATATGGCGAATAATATATATTATAGGTATATTGAAAATTATCTCTACAGTAATACCGGATGAAAGCGGTTAAAAGATGAAAATAAAAAAAAAAAAAAAATACGAAAACCAACCCCGACGTTTTTACACATATATATTTACTGTCTAAATACATAATATATAATAATTATAACGATACAGAGTCCAAAATAACGTAAATTTGTTTGTTTCTTTGTACTTTNTTATAAAAACAATTTTCGTGATTTCAATTTTTTAAAAAAAAATTTCCGGAAAATAAAAAAAAAAAAAAAAAAAAAAAAAAAAATACGAAAACCAACCCCGACGTTTTTACACATATATATTTACTGTCTAAATACATAATATATAATAATTATAACGATACAGAGTTCAAAATAACGTAAATTTGTTTGTTTCGCTTTACTTTTTCCTGTTCGGAGTCCCGGAGAGTTAGGCCGTCTTGTATTCCTTCGTTCCCATTGACGACGTTAATACACTATTGACGTAAAAATAACTGTGCGCGTTAGACGTTAATGCGACGTAAGTATATATAAGTACCTACCGTTTATGGAAAATATACGTCGTTTAAAGAGAAATTTTCATACATACAGAGTGTCCCACGAAGATATACCCTACTCATTTTGTATACAATGGGCATATCTTTGTGGGACACTGTGCAATGTAGAATTAGAAATATAATATATTGTAGTTTAGTATGATTAATATTATAGTCGGTAATATGTCTTTGATTCTGAGTGTGTACCGAAGAGGCCATTAATTTTACTATGATGTGTTTGTGTGTAGTTTTTTTTCTCAACAAACACTTTTTCGCCTAATAAAAATGCTCTATTTTGTTTCGTGTATATGTCTAAACTTTAAAAGTTGTGGTATTTTCGCCCGGTGATACTTTACTTGACCAATTGTTTTGTAATTCCTAATTTTTTTTTCAAAAACTTGTTTTGTATATTTTTTTCTTAAGACAAATGATCCAAAGTGTTCACTTAGTACCTGAAAAGAAGCGGTATTTCTGTCCGGTTTTACTTTACAAACATATTAATAATAATAACAAAAATATTCCCTCTCTCATAATATAACGCAATTCATAGAATTTTGTTTTGAGAATTCGGTTTCGAGTGCAATAAGTTTTGTTTTACTGCGTTTCAGTGCACCGATATAATTTTTCAATAAATTATATTATTTATTATGTACCGAACAATAAAATTACTATGGTTCACGTATCCTATTATAATATATAATACTAAAACCGTTCTAGTTTCCTTCAGTGTTGAGTTATTCGATGTTATATTAATATACACAGGTCGATTCGTTTTATGATAATACTTGTACAGTATGAACCATTGACGACTATTATACCTACTCGTGTACATAGATTTCGGGTGGATATTTGATTTCGGTTTTTATCTGAATCATCGCCTTTCAAGAATCGCTTCCCGATTACGGTTCTCATTTCGCTTTACCTTTGAATATACCCGCGCACAATCATAAACCATCATAATACGACGACTTTTCGGTTAATAAACAAATTCCAACAACACACGTTTTACACGAAAAGCGAATAATATTTTCTAGAAAATAATAAGTTATATGTTTCATATATCTCCGTGTTCGGTATGATTCTAACGATACATCCGACGGAAAATTGTTCAAATCTCAAAAACGCTGCGTATATATTTTAGCCTTTACCTTCGGACAATGTTCATTCCCTGGTTTACGGTTGTTTTTCACTCTGAAAATGTTTTCCTTAATTTCCACGTTTAAACGATATTTGGTCTCTTTCCATTCCTCTCGCCTGAATTTTAAACAGTTTTTTGAACAAAAATATCTGAGAGAGGGCATAGTGTCTAAAATAAATATTTCGTAAGTATCCTTTCGGAACCTTCGTACATTGTTAAAAATAATCGCTAGTAAATGTGATAAATGAATCACTCCGTATAATAACATATACCTTATGATATACATTCGAGTTTGACGGGATATAATTTTATTATAATGCTCCGATTCTCTATTGCTGCAGTGTAATTATTACTGTTTCGTATCGTATAAGTACTTTTTCTACTGTAATATAGGTTCCTAGCGTAGCGAGAAATGTGTTTTTTTTTATTTTTATTACCACCTTATATATCCGTTTAACACACTTTAACGGCGACGGAGGATAAAATAACGACATTCGGATGGTTTTTTTTTTTCTTCTTAAATTGTGTATCGCAGAGCAATGCTTTGTTTTTTAAGGCCGCGGCCACACCAAAGCGGCAAGCGACTTTTTGTCGTCGAAAATTTTACGGTGATCAATGCCGACAAAGTCGTCAATAAAACATGGGATAACGTATAGGAACAAGGGCCAAATTTTAGCGTTTGACAAGACATTCAAGGGATCTCTACACATAATTTGTTTTATTTATCTGTCTTATGCGTAATATAGCAACAAATTCACATCATATTTCAACGATTGCGGCCATTTGGTTGGAAGACCTATTAATCATTTTACAAAAAATAATATACGCTATGCTTTGGCCGAATGATTTTTTTTTTTTTTTTTTTTTTTTTTTTTTTCTTTTTT